TGCATTGCCATGCCTTGTTTTGCCCTCTGCTGCTATCAAAACAGGTTCTGCAGGAAGTTTTAGCCGGTCGGCTACATATAGTGCCGACCGACCAACAATTTGTGGCCGATATCTCCACAGGTGGTCGATGACCATTCCTCATGGCCGGTGACCATTCCTCATGGCCGGTGGTGTTCCACAGCACTCAGAGATGTAACCTTGGAGTTTGTGCAATTTTCAGAGGTGCCAAACAGTAAAAACAGTGGCAACTTGTGCATGGCAGTGGGCTTCCGAACAGAACCGAGGCTATTTACTGTTTTATTAGATTAGTTAATTTTCTTAACTAGTTTAATTTGTATGTAATAATTAATTAGCTTGTAGGTTAATTAATTGTATTATTCTTTTGTTCCCTTCGAGCGAGGGCGAATTTGTAATAAGTGTGGGTGCGTGTGTGCATGTTTTCCGACCCCCCACTTCTTTCTCCCTTTTACTTACCTGCTTTGATGGTTAGTATTAGGGCATATTTAATTTAGCATACCTTATGCTATGCATGCGTGCATCATTCATCATCATTGCATGCACCGGGCTCGGCGCATTATGCTAACTGTATAAGTATTTCAAATCTAACTTGAATATGTGCATCAAATGGTTGCATTTCACATGCCATCCTAGGATTAGCCGAGCTTATCCTAATTGCATTCTGTATGCGTTGCATTAGGCACTTCACATGGACTTGGATCATATATTGATTGCTAACAAGTTCTTTGTTTTGGCTTGGAGTACACTGTAAGTATTTTGTGCTTTAGCATCTCGCATTAGTGTGAATGTTAACATGACAGCATGATTACCATGTGGCTAGATGCTTATGTGATATGAACTACCTGAATGCCTGTGGGTGGAGGTTGAATTACCTGAATTGGAATAATGCATTAAAACTGTGAGTTTTAAGCCCATTAGATAGTGGCAAAACCATGTTTTCTAAGCCCACCCGAAGGTGGCAAAATCTGCATTTTAGCATACTTACGAGTAGCAGACCATTTTCAAAACAAACATGAAATGTTTTGTTCCAATTCAGGTGATCCAGTCTATACTTTTATGTTGTGCGCATCACATAGTAAATTTAGGCTAATAACCGGAATAAGAACGCATAATGTTTTCAAAACAAGATATCATGGTTAGTAGAGGCCGATCTTCGAATCGGGCGAGAGGGGGTGCTCATAACTGACCTTCCCCAATCGTACCCAAGTTCCCGAGCCGAGGCAACTCTGGTGATGACGGACACGTGGCCTTAGGCAAACGAGTCAGGGTTTCCTAAATTTCCCGAAAATAAAATATTTAGGTGGCGACTCTATATCTGGCAAAGCAGTCCATGTTTGGCACTTCTTTACAAAAATCTATTTTTCAAAACGATTTGCCAGATTTGGACTCTTTGGTTCAGACTAAGAACCGTGACGATTTGAGAGTCCGAACTGTAGTGAGCCCAAAACGAACAGAACGGGACTCATCCTCCCGGGCGTTCAGGGACGTCTACAATGTGCATTCACCTTATAATTTTGCTAAGATTCATATACTATGTTAGAGTATCTCTATTGGGTTGTGGCTCACCCTATGTGGAAAACAACTTGCAGGTGCTAATGATATGCCTCCACCAAGGATGTAGCTTGGGAGAACTTGGACCTTAAAGCTTCATTTTTGGTTTCTTGATGTAATTTTTTTTGTTTAAGCCTAGGACTTTACTTGTATTGAGTTTAAACTCATTTTGTTGTAACCATGCAACGTCTTGGAAAATTGTGGCCATTAAGGCAATTCATTGCTCGGTTTATTTCTCTTTTTACTCTTGTATTCATGCCATATGCTATAGATTTAGAATCTAGGATTGGTGAATATGTATTGCATATGCCATCTTTTGTAATGATTAGAGATATAATGAATAAAACATATAACATTGTTGATCAATTGTAGCATTGTTAAGAGATGTGATAACATGCTTCTGCGACTAAATGGGTATGAGATTTAATTTCTTAGATATTGATTAAGCCTACGAGTTTCTAGAAGTTCTGTTAGAAGAACACTTGATCACTGTTAGTTCTAACTGGAACTCTTGCAATGTCATCGGACGGTCACTATCTAGAAAGGAAATTCGTTTATGTGGAGTGAATTATGTGATGTCCGCCACATTAGGACGTGAGTGAATTAGTTTCAACACATTTGTGGAAGTGCTAGTCTATTGTGTTACCTTTATTAGGATGTCAGGATGCGGACGTTATAGTGGTAGGCGTGCTAGGCCTAGGGGGCAGGAGGTATCGTTACCGGATGACGTTCTAGCGCAGGAGAAGGGAGTTGGTCAGGCCAACGTGGCTGAGCCGGTAGGTCTGCAAGCCATGGGCGCTTTGGCCTAGGAAATGGCTGGTGCTTTGCAGGAGTTGATACACATTCTTAGGGCTGAGAATCAAGTCCAGGCCCGTGCAGTTAAGGCGAGGCCATCTTTTCTGATGAGGGAGTTCTTCTAGTCGAATCTGGATGAGCTTTTGGGGCCTCAGAAGGAGCCACTGAAGGCAAATAAGTGGCTAGAGCAGATGGTGAAGATGTTCGAGAGGCTTCACATTAAGGATGATGGTTTGAGAGTGACCTTGGCATCCTTCTAGCTGAAGGGAAATGTGGGTCAATGGTTGAAGTATGCGTGTGGGCGCATTGTGGTGACTTAAGAGGCTTTTTTCAACGCCTTCCAAGACAAGTTCTTGCCTCCCATTGCTAGGGAGAAGGTGAGGAATCAGTTCTTGAAACTCAAGCAATTGAACACTCTTGTAGTAGAGTTTGAGGCAGCTTTTACTAGCCTCTCTAGATTTGCACCAGAGCTTGAGGCGACGGAAGAACGCTGTTGTGTTGAGTTTGAGAAGAGGCTGAGGATCGGACTCCTTTTCATGGTGGCTGGGTCTATGATGAGGAATTACGGTTGTCTTGTGGAGGCGACAAATCATTTAGAGACTGTGATTCAGACGGAGGAGGAGAGGATGAGGGGCTCTAGGCAGAGGACTCACACTGCAAGAAATTGCACTTTTGGCAACTACTTTTGGCGATGACGTCAATTTTTCATCGCCAAAAGTATATTTTTGGCGACACAGTGATCAATTTCGTTGGTAAAAGTATACTTTTACCAACGAAATTGATCACTGTGTCGCCAAAAATATACTTTTGGCGATGAAAAATTGACGTCATCGCCAAAAGTAGTTGCCAAAAGTGCAATTTCTTGCAGTGTGAGTCCTCTGCCTAGAGCCCCTCATCCTCTCCTCCTCCGTCTGAATCACAGTCTCTAAATGATTTGTCGCCTCCACAAGACAACCGTAATTCCTCATCATAGACCCAGCCACCATGAAAAGGAGTCCGATCCTCAGCCTCTTCTCAAACTCAACACAACAGCGTTCTTCCGTCGCCTCAAGCTCTGGTGCAAATCTAGAGAGGCTAGTAAAAGCTGCCTCAAACTCTACTACAAGAGTGTTCAATTGCTTGAGTTTCAAGAACTGATTCCTCACCTTCTCCCTAGCAATGGGAGGCAAGAACTTGTCTTGGAAGGCGTTGAAAAAAGCCTCTTAAGTCACCACAATGCGCCCACACGCATACTTCAACCATTGACCCACATTTCCCTTCAGCTAGAAGGATGCCAAGGTCACTCTCAAACCATCATCCTTAATGTGAAGCCTCTCGAACATCTTCACCATCTGCTCTAGCCACTTATTTGCCTTCAGTGGCTCCTTCTGAGGCCCCAAAAGCTCATCCAGATTCGACTAGAAGAACTCCCTCATCAGAAAAGATGGCCTCGCCTTAACTGCACGGGCCTGGACTTGATTCTCAGCCCTAAGAATGTGTATCAACTCCTGCAAAGCACCAGCCATTTCCTAGGCCAAAGCGCCCATGGCTTGCAGACCTACCGGCTCAGCCACGTTGGCCTGACCAACTCCCTTCTCCTGCGCTAGAACGTCATCCGGTAACGATACCTCCTGCCCCCTAGGCCTAGCACGCCTACCACTACAACGTCCCATCGCGCTATCTTGCGCATCGCACTGTCTTGCGCATCGCACTGTCTTGCGCATCACATCTCAAATGCACACATTTAGCACAGTCCGGCGGGACCAAAAACACGCGCGGTCTGGTGAGACCTTAAACCCGCTCAGTCACATTGTCATGCGTCTCAAAAGCCGCGCTTTGTCGCGCATTTCGAAATCATACATCTTCATGCATCATGCATCATGCATCGTCATGCATATCTTAAGCCGCACGTTGTTGCGCATTTTGAGTTCACTTGCATTGTTATGCATTTCTTGTGCAACATACGACAGTCTAGGAGACCCTAAATCCTCTGAAGGTGCAAGTCCTTCGGTGTTTGTCGTGCCCGAACGAAAAAATGGCAGGGGCCAAACTCTAATTTTGGAAGCCATTTAATGAACGGTCAAAGTGGTAAAAATAAAAATAAAAAGCTTGATACATTCAGAATGGAAAGAAAATTTGACTCTACACTCGCACATCCCAATATTAGTGATGGGCCAAGATGACTTGTACCCAGTTGTCAGTCGCACTGGCACATCCCAACGTGGGTGACTGGTGAAGATGACTTCTGCCCAGCGGTGTGTACCCCAGGGCCAATGACCTCTGGCTAGTGGAGAAGGGCTTCTGGCATATTCTCTTTGGCCCTTGCTTGCATTGACCTCCCAGTCTTGTGGCCTTTGGCTGATGTTGCTTGGGTTGTCATGATGATTAAAAAATTATATATATTGATCTCATGTTTGCTCTTTAGCTACCATCTTTTGATTGCTTTGACGCTGCCAATTTTCATCAGCCAAATCAATTTGTGGGCTGTCTGGAGATGGATTACATGTGGATGCAAGTCTCAAACCCATTCATCATCTTTTTTTACTTTATTTATATTTTCTATTTGTCGAACATGACATACAAAGAAAAAATGGGAGAATCAAATCAAAATTTATATTTATAATTTCCAAATGTAAATATATATATATATATATATGTACACGATACCAACTCCAACCTCTGCTTCTCCCTTGACGATTACTGCGACTTCGGCCCCAATTTCTTCTACCGTAATTGCCCCGGCGTAGTTAGTTCTGCAGATCGAGATAGTTTGAGCCGAACCTTTACTCTCCCAGGTATTCTATCGATTCAGTGTGCAAATTTTGTAGGCAGTGATAATGGTGAAATTAAGGGTTTTTCTAGGGATTGTGTTAGGCTTCTTCCTTTGGAGTTGTGGCTTGTTAGGAGTGAAATTGAGTCATTGAGGGATTACCCTATTGCCTATTCGTATAGAGTTCTTTGGATCATTTTGTGTTCTGTTATGGCTGAAGATTGTGATTTCCTTAGATGGGTAATTGTGAATTTTCCTTTGTTATGATGGTGTGATTGATGTGCCTATGAGGGATCATATAGTTTTACTTTTTTAGCTTTGTTTGAAAGCAGTTGTGAGGGAAGCTACTGGTTCGGTGGATTCAGTATTGAACATAGATGTGAGGGAGTTGAATCCAGCTGCTATGAGTTTATATCATGGATGGCTATTATTTCATGATATAAACTCCGTGCCTAATGATTTGCACGTACAACATTTTAATTTCAATTTATTTTCAATTGCGGGAAGTGGTGTGTGTTTTTGTTTTTAAATTATGGATGTGAGAACTTTCTGGTTTTCAAAATATTTCAAGTTCTCTTACTTACTAAGAATTTAGAATTAGAAACAGCATCATAAGCAATCACTTGACCTGCTACTTTGTTTCCTCAGTGCACATCAAAGAAAGGTGGAAGTGAGACAATGGACCTGATTGATTGCAGAATAAAAGTTTGGTAGCCAGTGGACAAGCGGTAAGTATTTTGTTGGTTTAGAGAACAAGATTAAGGCCTCGTTTGGGAACATGCTAATTTAGTAATTTTTTGGCTATTTGGCTAAAATATGAGCTAAAAAAACTAGTGTGTTTGGGATGACTTTTTGGCTTTTTTACGAAAAGATGTGCAAAAAGTAGAGAGAAAAGAGAATATTTGACTTTTTGGTATGGGTTGTTGGCTTTTTGGCTAATTTAGAAACTTTTTGGCTTTTTGGCTAAAAGAGAGGGTTCCAAACAGGGCCTAAGCCATTTTTTAACAAAATAGTTGAGAAAGATAAAGTTGGAGCATGAGATGTGTAGGTCTATGAAATTGGGAATCTCTATTATATTTAAATTTCTAATTTATTATGTATCCATCTTCTGTTTAAAATTAAGCTCTGGATAATTTCCTTTCCAGGTAAAAGTAGTTAGATTGAGATGAGTCATATCCTTTCAGTCATAGGTTCAACACTTGAAAAAATATTTTCAATAACACCAGTGTCTACAGGGTTGGCCATGGCTTAGTTTTGTTCTTCACTTGGATTGTGAAAATGAATTTTATTTTCTTGTACCCATGAACACAGTGACCCCTTACCAAATTCTTCTTTAGTTCAGTTTCATGAAAGTTTCCCATTCTACTCCTTTGTTTAGGGCCATGGGTGGTCTGCTACTACTAGGAGTCTGCGACTTTTGATCAGTTTGTCACTCTGTTTTCTATGCCATCCATATTGGATTCTTTGGCATACATTAAAACTTTTCTTAATCCTTTGATTGAGTCATCTCAAATAGTTGACCTTGTTTATGACTTAATCAATAGCTACTCATAAGTTCTGTTCCATTCCTAATTGTGTCTTTCCTGCAAGGAAGCAAGGACACTTCCCTATATGTGACATATACACATTTTTGGACACGGATAGGTGTCAAACACTGGAGACATGCCCCAACATCTGTTAATTTAGTTTAACCTGACATGTTGCTGACTTGGTGAGGACATCCCTGTATGAGAATCAGACTCACACAGACCAAAAATGGCAGGGGCCAAACTCTAATTTTGGAAGCCATTTAATGAACGGTCAAAGTGGTAAAAATAAAAATAAAAAGCTTGATACATTCAGAATGGAAAGAAAATTTGACTCTACACTCGCACATCCCAATATTAGTGATGGGCCAAGATGACTTGTACCCAGTTGTCAGTCGCACTGGCACATCCCAACGTGGGTGACTGGTGAAGATGACTTCTGCCCAGCGGTGTGTACCCCAGGGCCAATGACCTCTGGCTAGTGGAGAAGGGCTTCTGGCATATTCTCTTTGGCCCTTGCTTGCATTGACCTCCCAGTCTTGTGGCCTTTGGCTGATGTTGCTTGGGTTGTCATGATGATTAAAAAATTATATATATTGATCTCATGTTTGCTCTTTAGCTACCATCTTTTGATTGCTTTGACGCTGCCAATTTTCATCAGCCAAATCAATTTGTGGGCTGTCTGGAGATGGATTACATGTGGATGTAAGTCTCAAACCCATTCATCATCTTTTTTTACTTTATTTATATTTTCTATTTGTCGAACATGACATACAAAGAAAAAATGGGAGAATCAAATCAAAATTTATATTTATAATTTCCAAATGTAAATATATATATGTATATATTGTTGTGGCTCTGCTGGTTTTATGGCTTTTGAAAATTGCCTTGTTAGCGTGTATATATATCCATGTGCTAATAAATTATTCAAAAGCATACCGCATAATCTTGATCTAGGGAATGACAATCCTTGATTACCTTAGTAGTGTGTACTTTTTGTACACGTGGTTTGCACTCCAAAATCCTTGTGTGTATACACGCTGCTGCAAGAATTGTGTCTTGATGGTGTCTTGTTAAAATCAACAGGTTTTATGGAGTAGTGAAGTCTTATGACTCTGAACATAAGAAATATGTGGTAAGTGCACCGTTCCATGTTCTATTTTTTTATTCTAATACTTGTGTTAGTCATGTTTTGGAGATACACATTTTATTTATTTATTTATCAATAATGTTATAATTGTAATCTCATATGGTTCTTTGACATAATTTTCTCTGATCAATTTTGTGTTAAAGGTACTGTATGATGATGGAGATGTGGAAGTGCTCCGTTTAGATAAAGAGCGTTGGGAGCTTGTTGACAATGGTCACAAGCCTACAAAGGTTAACTTTATATTATAAATTCTATTGAAGCAATGAATTGGCCTTTAACTCTAACAATGTGTCTTTTTTACACCACCATTCACAGCAGTTAAATTTATCGAAAGGTCTATCTAAAAAGGGATTGTGAGTAATGCCTTTTAATTCATATCTGCAATCTACAAATTGTTTTGTGGGAATTATATGTTTAAACGTGCAGAGGCTTGTGGCAGTATTGGTGCATGGATCTAATTTTATTTTATTTTGCAGATTGTCTGAGAAGAACATCTACAAGGTTTCATTTTCATTATGATTTATCCTAAACATTTGGCTTATAATAGTGTTAGTACATTTTGATTATGTAATTCTGTCTAGATATATAACCTGTTTCATATACTAACCATTAAAGCTTCATTAATTTGTTTAGGGCCATGGAACTGTTAGTTGAGTATTGAAAGGGTAAAGAGTCCATGAAAACCAACTAAAACATTTTGTTTATAATGTTACAGATAATCAAAATCAACTAAAACATTTCTAACACCAAAATTATAAATTATGTGTTTACGGAAGCTTAAGCAGAAATATCTATAAATTTTCAGGTTGAGGAACTTGCTCGGTTATCGTTAATACAACTCCTGTCTATATTGATGTGGATGATGGGCGGAAGAAGGTAAATTAATCATTGGAATTTATTCGTATAGAATCCATTTTTTTTTATTTACTTTTCTTTAGGTATGAATGCATTTTCATATAATCTACAAATCAAAGTAGTCATTGCTCCACTAAAAAATCCAAAATACACAAGAAGCCAATATTAATTCTCTTTCTTTCTTGTGCTTAACCCCAGCAAGGTAGAGGGTGGCTTAACAAGTGCAATTTCAACAAACTTGAATGAAGAAGGCCCTTTGCCCTCTATAAAATTGGTCAGAAAACAATTCGGTGGAGACAAATTTTGGAGATAGGACAGTGAATAGAAACCAAGACGAAGAGGATGATATTCATGATCAAGAAGACTCGAAACCAATGGATGAAAGGGCATTTTGGAGGAAGACAATTGTTCAAACCTTGAAGAAAAACAAGAACAAGAAAAAATAGAAGAAAATGAGCCTTTTAAAGGAAAAAGCAAATTGAAGAGTGACAAAACAAAGGAGGAAAACATAGGAGAAAGGGTGGACAAGTGTGAAAAACTTAAGACATTTGAGGAGTTCTTCATGGATAAATTTAAATCCATTGGAAATGATCTCATCTTTTTTATTCCAATCTTGTACACCCACATGCCAACTTCTATCATTTCATTGGAAGTAGCAAAAAAGATGATTAGAGCTCTTGATCTGCTAAAATCATTTCGAACTTTGCTACGTACTGATGTTGCTGCAAATAAGTTTTTGAGAGAACTCATTAATGGAACTGCAGATGTTAGGAACAGGATTAATGGATTCATGAAGTTGAGTTCTGTCAACGCAGAGTGCCTTCAAGTACTCAAACTCCTTCGCGAAACCTTTTCTGCACTAAATACTACTGACAAATATGTAATTCGAAGGTTTTGCTTGCAAAATGCGTGCTTGATATTCTGCACTGCTTCAAGCTCTGCTAAGTTGTGTACAGAAGAAGAAAACCCACGTACTCAAATTCCTTCGCGAAACCTTTTTTGCTCTAAATACTACTGACAAATATGTAATTCAAAGTTTTTGCTTGCAAAATGCGTGCTTGATATTCTGCACTGCTTCAAGCTCTGCTAAGTTGTGTACAGAAGAAGAAAACCCACTGGAACTGTTGGTGATCGATGAAGCTGCTCAACTCAAAGAATGTGAATCCACTATTCCATTACAGCTCTCTGGTATCCGTCATGCTATACTCGTTGGCAATGAACGACAACTTTCTTCAATGGTTCAAAGCAAGGTTTCTGATTAATTTAATTTAATTGTCTTTGTGTTTATCAATCTTTTATAAAAATTGTTATCTTGTATTGACGTCTTGAAAATCTATGCATAATAGATATGCCAGAATGTTGAATTTGGAAGAAGCTTATTCGAGAGGCTGGTGCTATTAGGGCATAAAAAGCATCTTCTTAGTATCCAATACAGAATGCATCCATCAATAAGCATGTTTCCGAATAGGGAATTCCATGACAATATGATTTCTGATGGTCTGAATGTCAAAGAGAGAACCTACGAGAGGCTTTTTCTTCGAGGAACTATGTATGGCTCTTATTCCTTCATAAATGTAAGCTATGGCCAAGAGGGCTTTGATAACAGACATAGTACGAAAAACACGGTGGAGGTAGCTGTGGCTGCCGATATTGTTGCAAGACTCTTTAAAGGTACTTCTTTTCTATTATAGTCAATGAAAAGTTTTAGAATTCTTTGAAAACAAAAACAGAAAGCAGAACATAGAACACAGAAAATAAAACATTACCAAATGGGCTATAACTTTTTAGTGTTTTCTGCCTGAATCATGATCAATAAGTGAGGATTCTGCTATCTGGCTACATTATTCCCACTATAGAATCCGAGGCCTCAAAACAATTTTTTTGGTTAGTTTTCAAGTTTTTGGAAAACAAAAATAGAAACAGAAGCATTACCAAACAGGCTGTAATTTTATTTTGTTTTCTGCCTCAATCGTGATCTGCAGAATCTAAGGCGTCAAAACAGAAGGTTAGAATTGGTTGCATATCACCATACAAGGCTCAAGCATTTGCACTTGAACAAAAATTTGGAAAAACGTACAACACAGATGCAAACAGCGACTTTTCTGTAAGTGTTCGATCTGTTGATGGGTTTCAAGGTGGTGAGGAAGATGTCATAATTATCTCTACTGTGTGATGCAATGGGCGTGGATCAGTGGGCTTTCTTTCCAATCATCAAAGAGCTAATGTGGTTCTCACTCGAGCAAGGTATTGTTTTTTGCATAGCCGAACCTTGTGATAATTAAGCTCTATTTTACTGTGTGGTAATTTTTTTGTCTTTTTTTTTTGGGGTGGTGTAGGCATTGCCTTTGGATTTTGGGGAATGGTGCTACTTTGATTAATAGCGGCAGTGTATGGAAAAAATTAGTTGTAGGTGCCAAGGCTCGAGGTTGTTTTTATGATGCGAATGATGACAAGAACTTAGCTCAAGCTGTTGGAGGCGCCTTAGTTGAGCTTAACCAACTTGATATATTACTCAAGCTCGGTTCTTTTCTATTTAGTAATACAAGGTGGAAGTATATATATATATATATATATGCTCTCTTTAATTGTCAACAATTATACTATTAAAACCCTTTCATATCAAACATTTCCATGCATCGTATATTAAAAATTGCAACATGGTTGCAAAAATCAATGCTTTTCTCCTTAGAAGAGTTGTGTTAGAAGCTCCCTAGAGAGAATTATGAAAATTCTCCTGTTTGTAGTTGTGTTTTTATTTTCCCAAAAAACACACAAAAACTTAGGAGATGAACTGTTTCTAACATTGTTATCAATAAGAATCTTCAGGCACCCAAGTTCGTTGGCTGGGTTGAATTGGCTCTGTTTTCATATGTACAGGAGGCTAACGCACCTGTATCATGTAGAGAAGAAAGGATGTTCTCCTTCAAAGTGGGTATTTTACATTCTTTTTTTTTCTTCTAATTATCATGCATGGATTAGCAAAGAACTTGGCTTGAGTAGCTCCTATTAAAATGCCTTTACATGTTGGTCATCTCTTCTGAAATGCCCCCAGGAATGTCAAATAAAGCAGCTGGCCTGAAGGTTGCAGATGCACCAAGCTCATCTGAGATGCATGAATCAGATTTGTCTGCTGCAGCTACTGGTCTGCTGCTGCTGGTTTGTTGCTGCTGCTGCCCTTGTGGTTGATTCTTGCTAGGCTGTTGCTACTGCAATGTTGCTGTGAGGCAGCTGCTACTAGATGTTGGTCTGTTGGATAAGCTTGTGGATACTTTTCGTGTCGTTTTGCCTGTCTTTGTTAGTTTCATGTTTTCATTTTGTTATCTGTTGTTTGTAATGTGGGTTCACAATTAGTGAGTTTACCCTTTTAGGTTTTATACACTGCTTCTAAAAGCAGTATCAGCAGTGTTTTTTTTGCTTGTAGATCAACTTTAGGTGATTTCATATCAATGTTATTAGTTTGTAAGAGTGGTGCCTGAGGGATGCCTCTTGTAAATCTGTAAATCTTATAAAAATATATAAATTATTTTCAATTATTTTTGTTGGTAAATGTGTCGCCAAAAGTTTATTTTTGCCCACTCATATTGTGTTGCTAAAAGTGTATTTTTTGCCAATGCTAGTTTGTCGTTGCCAAAAGTGAAGCTTTATCGACAAACAAATCGTAGGCAAATGGCAACATTTACCGACGTAAATGTGTCGCCAAAAGTTTACTTTTGTCGATGCATATTTTGTTGCTAAAAGTATATTTTTTGCCCATGCAAATTTGTGTCGCGAAAAGTGCCACACAATCATCATATTTGAATGACTTTTACCAACGCAAGGTAAATTGCCGACGATGGATGAAGGCTTTTAACGACGACTATGTTCGTTGCTAAAGGCATTACTTTTACCAACGCAATGATAATTTCGTCGGCAAAAACTTTTGCCGACTCACTTTTGCCTACGGGTTGCCAACGTAGCTTTGTGTGTTGGCAAAACTCTTTGCCAATGAATTTTTCCTTTTAGCAACATATTTTGTTGTGTTGGAAAAAAAGCAATTTCTTGTAGTGTCAAGAGGTTCAGGGAGAGATGAGGGACAACAAGAGGCAGAGGGGTTCCATTCCACAGCAGTCCTAGGAAGCACAGTTCAGATCCACCTTTCCTGTACCGAGTTCTAGTTCATAAAGGAGTAGTCATGGTGGGATCACTTGCATTAAGTGTGATCAACTGGGCCATAAGTCTCTAGTTTGCCCTCACAGAGGATGAGGGCAACAGTCTGTGCTATCTGCGGCTCGTTCACAAAGCTAAAGTTAGGAGAGATGGTAGTCGCCCACCTATTATCAGTATAGGAGTTGGAGCACTTGAGGAGGTTTTTCCCTCAGACAGGTAGCACACCTAGTGCGTTTGGTTCAAGGCAGACACAGAGCAATCAACCTACCCAATCTGTATAGGCCTTAAGGGCTACTCAATGAGCCTTTTCAGCTTAATCAACTTATCAGTCTTATGCTCCAAGGGGTGAGCAGGTGGAGCAGAGACCTACGGGGCGTGTGTTTGCTGTTACCATGCCAGATTAGTTGTTAGCACGCTCTATTTTGAGAGGTAACTTCTTGTTGTTTAATTATATTGCTAATGTGTTGATCGATATTGGTGCATCACCTTCTTTCACCTCATCTGCATTCGCATCAGTTTTGGGGTTAGAAGTGGCTCAGTTAGCATATTCACTCAGGGTAGAGTCACCAGTTGGGGGTAAGGTTGACTTCGATCGGGGATGTCATGGTTGTGGGATTGAGGTTGCCGGTCGTCGACTTCCTTTTGCTTTTGTATTGTTTGACATGTAGAGTTTTGATGTCGTTTTAGTATGGATTAGTTATCCTCGTACCAAGTTGTTATAGATTGTCACCACCAGAGGATTACGGTGTGCACTTTGAGTGGTGACTATTTTTTTTATTTTTATTTTTATTTTATTTATTTATTTATTTATTTTTTTGAAGGACCAAGCTGATAGAATCTTATTGCCAGAATGTGACCCTCATGGTAGGGGCGAGCTTAGTTGTCTTCTTGTTGCTTTCTTGGGTAGTTAGAATGATGTGGTCTGAGTTGAGTTGATGAGGGTAGTTTGTGAATACCCGAACGTCTTTCCTGAGGATCTTACTAGTTTGCCAGCCATTGGGAGATCGAGTTCTCTATTGACTTATTGGCTGGCATGACACCGGTTTCTATGGCACCGTATAGATTTGCGCCAACCATGTTGTATGAGATGAAGATTCAACTCTAAGAGCTATTAGATAAGGGCTTCATTCGCTCTAGTAAATCGCCTTGGGGAGCACCGACTCTCTTTTCTAAGAAGAAGGAGGGCACTTTACGTTCGTGTATCGATTACCAGAAGTTGAACTGGGCAACTGTTAAGAACAAGTACCTATTGCCTCGCATAGATGATTTATTTGACCAGTTGAAATGGTCTTGTTACTTTTCTCAAATTGATTTGAGATAAGGTTATCACCAGTTGAGGGTGTAGGAGGAGGATATTTAGAAAATGACATTTCTTATGCAGTATGGTCATTACGAGTTCTTGGCGATGCAATTTGGGTTAACCAAAGCACTAGCTTTATTTATGGATTTGATGAATCGAATCTTCTGTGAGTTCTTAGATTGTTTTATAGTTGTCTTTGTTGATGACATCTTAATCTACTCACCCTCCAGGAGGAACAGGAGGAACACTTGTGGGTCGTACTTGAGTTGTTTAGAGCACACAGTCTTTATGCTAAGTTAGGGAAGTGCGAGTTTTGGTTAAAATTAGTTAAGTTCCTAAGCCA